TTAATTGCAGTATGGGCAACAGATGCTTCTTGGCCACCCTAGGCAAGTCCTATACATGCCAAGCTATCAACCTGTAAGCAATTTTTATGTTCTGATGTAATGTAGTTTAATTCATCTAGAATTTTTCTTTTGTAATGTTTATATTAAAAAAATTATTTAGTTATGTGCTTGAAGGCTATTCCTATAACTCATCTTTATGCCCATTGGAGGCATATTCTGTGATAAGATTACTGTTACTTTTCTGGGTCAAAACTCATGTAGAATGGTTTTTTAGTTGTTCATGTATTCTGTATTCGATTTGTCTTTACAGGAGATGCCATACAAAGGACGAGACTATTAACTGACAGTTGGACGAATGCGCTTTGGTTGATCCGGCTGCTGCACCTAAAGAATAACTCCTTGGAGTCTTCTGGGAACAATTTTTCGAGGAGCAGAGCCCTCCTCTCCAAAAAGATCCCTACATTGTTCTTGAATCTTTTGTGTGCCAAGGAAAGCTTACTTCTTCCCGGATATACCTCCATGACCGACCTATGCTTTAACCCGTATGATTGACTCTGGATTTCTCAATTTCATACTGTACATTATTACCCTTGTCTCTTCTTAAAAAAATATAATTTATCCAAACATCTATATTTTATGGAGTTTTTTTTTTTCGTTTGGGATATACTGATTAATTCACAGTTAACAATTTGTCAAATTTATGTTGTCCTGCATGCATGCCATATGCATTCATGTTGGAGTGGGTTGGGTATGTTATTTGATTGATCAAGGATTTGGTGCCTCTAACGTTTGATGAACACAAGGATTCGGAATAATTGCCATGGATGATAAAGATTTTATTCTGAATAATATTTGCAAATGATTAAGATGTAACTCCAGATTAACGAGTTATAACGTTGGTATGTGATAATTAACTTGGTAAATAAGGAGCGCTGGTTAATTCATTTCTCCAAGTCATCTTTAGTCAAGTACCTTTCTTTTCTTCGGTGAAATGTTTAGATACTTATTTTTGGTCTTTAATGAGATATAAACGGGTTAATTCAATTCTTGAACTGGTCCCTTCTTTAAAATGAATCTCGTCATTCCAAGTATTAGCATTCTATATTGGTTGAAATTAAAATGTTTTTATCAAGATGCCGGCAGACTCTCTTTGAAAGCTTATGAGAGAATCATAAATATCATGTATGCAAATGGTGGTTTTTGACAATAATTTTAATTTTAATTTTTTAATGATTTGCTACCTACCCATAGTGGGAAGGGTTCTAGGGTGCCCTTCTAAGCTTCAAGGGACTTGATTTAGAGCATCTATAATCATGCTCTCTATTTTTTAGTTAAAATTTAGCTAAAAACATACAAAAGCTATTTTAGGAGTTCCCTATAAAATTTTAACTCCAATCATACTGTCTAGTTTAGGAACTCATAAATGCTCTAACTCTTTTTTAATTTGTCAATCTCTATAAAACAAAATAATATAAAAAATAGTTAGCATTAATTAAATATTTAAAAATACTCATAAAACAAAGCAGCATTAAATTATAGGGAACCACTATTCTCTCTCCTCATATTTGGGAGCTCCTAGAGGTCTCCTTATTTTATGAGGTAGATAGGGAGCATGGTTGGAGTTCTATTGTTTCAAATCCTCCCTAGAATTTGTCTAAAGGGGTGGTTTAGGAAGCCCATTGTTGATGCTCTTAATCAATCATTTTAATACCTTACTTACAAGCAATTATTTTGATGTCTTCTATCCTTAAAAGCTTATGACTTGACTTAAGCTAGGTGAAAACACCTAGCAAACTCAACTAAGTTTATGAAATTATGAGAGAAAAAACAGAAATCTCAAAGAGTTTCTGGACTTATTGACTAAAAATCTAAAACAAGGCCAACAAAAGGAAGAACAGTCGTTGCTAATCTTCATGCATGACATGACATAGAGAGCGTCACCTAGTCACTCTATGGCCCCAACGCGCCAATCAATAGTAGATCTACCCTAACCAAGTAGAACACCTCAAAGAGCAACCCCGCAAAATGTGGCACATCCAAAGCCAACCCAGATTCGTGGTAGAACCAATAGATTTGCCAAAGGATGACCATATCTGCATAGATGCGTCAAAAATCATAGAACATCGAGGATCCGTGAAGCTTTCTCTTTCTCTTAGTCGGCTATTGTAAAGAAACTTAGGGAGAATTTGGGATTGTTGTGCTATGAAAATAATTACTTTCAGATTTGTTGTAAGAGAAATCAGATGTCAATGAAACTAGTTTGGCGTTTGGTAAACTTTATATTAAAAGTGATTTTGATACAAAAATCAATTTAAGAGTGTTTGGTAAATATTTGTGTAAAACAACTGTGAGCTGTGTATAATGACTAAAAAGGATATGATGTTGAAATAATTTTTATATAAATGTTTGGTATTATATATATATAAAAAAAAGTCTCACTTCTTTTTTTTGGCCAAAACATTGTCACTGTCAAGTATGCAAATTTTTTATTAAATATTTATGTTGAGAGACACCTTGAAAAAAAAAAAAAAAAGGACAATACTTCCCTCCTTACCTTCTACTATGGCTCAACCATAAAGTGACATGTGTCATCTTTTTTTTTTTTATTGAACCCCTAGCTTTTTACCAAAAAAAGAAAAAAAAATCCCCATTAATTTTTTTTTTTCACTTTGATTTTTCTCAACCATTTAAAAAATAATAATTTTCCTTCCTCAGTCAAAATTTTAAGTATTTGTGGCCCTTTCCAGCTCTAACTTTAATAATCCCTCTACAAAGCTTTAATTTAATAATCCCTCTACAACCAAAGTTGCCATTGACAACATTTGTAGACATAGTTTCTTCATGGAGGTTCTTTCAATACGTCATCATGTTACCAAGTGGGAAAATAAAAACAATGGGAATTTTTTTTATTTTTTTTATTTTATGTTTTGGTAAAAAGCTGGTGTTCCTCAAACGGGTACTTAAGATGTCTCAGTTCTTCCCCAAACCAGAAGCATTCATCAGCTCCTCCGTGAATCCTAACTAACATGTCATTTGGGCAGTCCTAAATGGCAGACATTATTATTGGCCAAATCTAATCTAATTAGAAACCATGTTGAATATTTGAAGATAGAAAAACAAAATGAATTCACAAAATTTAGGTTTTCCATGATTTCTCGGCAAAAACAAACGCAACCAAAGCATTTGCGTTGCAAAAGGCATAATTTGGATGGCCAGAGCTATCTATTGGTGAAAATCAACCTAGTATTCACCAAATACCAATAGTTTTATTTTGCAAATACAAGACACTATATAGAGGACCAGAAGAGCGGGTCAAAATAATTGTATTAACCACAAGAACCCCATAATGTAGGTCCTCTAATATTCCCTTATAAAAGAGTGCCCTCTCTCCTCTGAATTGATCTCCAGCAAAGAAAGAACTCAATAACCAGGAAATTAATCAACAATGGAAAAGTATTCTAGTACCATTGCCCTTGCCTCTGCCCTTTGCTTCTCGGCCCTCCTCGGTTTTGCTTGCTGTGAAAACCCAGATTCAATCTATGTGCTTGGCCTGGTTTACTGTGACAACTGCCATGTCGGTTTTCCTACCACGTCTAGTAAGGTGATCGAAGGTAAGGATAATGCATGCATATGCGTGCATGTTAATTTATTAACATTTTGTTAGTAAATCACTTATTAGAACCCCGAAGAGAATGTGCATCAGATTGCATTCTCATGTTTCGTAAGCGTAAGCATTACATATGTATTATATCCAAATAGGAGACATGTATAGAGTGTTTTTCCTTAAGCAAGGGCAGATTCATATATTTTTAAGGGGCAGGCTAGGCAATATATATATTTTTCTTCATTTAAGGAGTTGCTGGGGTGCAGTGGACTATGTTTTTTTTCTCTTCATTCTCATCCTTTTGAAACGAGCATGAGACTTGCATACTCATTCCGCAAATCAAACGGGCTTTGGGACGATAAATCTCATGCACGTACGTACGTACACACACATATGCATTTCAGGCGCAGAGGTACACCTGGAATGCAGCGACAAGAAAGGCGGAGCACCAACATACAGGGCATGGAAGAAGACTAATTCTGAAGGAATGTACGACAACATACAGGGCATGGAAGAAGACTAATTCTGAAGGAATGTACGAATTCGAAGTGAGCAAGAAAGTAAATGTGAACAGCTACTGTGAAATCATTGCTTTCGAGAGCAACCTTGATGACTGCAGAAACATTGTCCACGACGACTCTAGCCAGGAGCTGAAGCTAAAATTCACCAAGCCTAGCCCGAATGATAAACGGGTCGTCGCCTTCGGGAACAAGCGCTTTGCCGCCCCGATTTCCTTTCAACCCGATCAGCCTCTTCAAAACTGCGCTGAGCACCACAACGAAGAAGAACATGACAAGGAGGAGGAGGGTGCTCCGCAGCACAAACATGAAGAAGAACATAATGAGGAGGGGGATGCTCCTCAGCACCAACATGAAGATGAACATGAACATGAGGAGGCCCATTAATATTATCAATTCACATAAATTGGAACCCTTTTTTCTTTTGTTTCATTTATGGGTTTTGTATTTTGTTTTTGTTTTTTTTGAATTATTTTACCGACAAGAAGATTAGAATATAGGCGCTCATATTTTAAAATTCTATTTGGCTATGAGGATTTTAGTGGAGATTTTGGTGTGTTACCTAATATTTCATCGGTGTCTAATGTTGTGGATTTTATGTTCCTACTTAGGATTCAGATCATGTGCTGATCTTTTTGTGTATCTTTTACCTATGTCTAAAAACTACGTCGTTTCAACTGCCTCACGACTGATTTCAATGGGCCAGGCCAACCCATCCCACAATTGAGAAGGCTGATTGTGGATCAATTGAAGCAAAGGTCCGTGAGGAAATAATAAATTAATAATTAAAGGAAAAAAAAGATGGAAAAAGAAAGGCCAGAAGTCGTAGCTCCCAACGGTCGAAATTTTAAAATTCCTACCCACTGTTTTCAGGCTTTACAATTCCCTGTAGCTCCTTCTTAAACCCCACCGCTGCAAAACCAACCTCTGTCTCATTCTGTCAAATTTTCAATATTCCATTCACAATCTCCGCCGAATTTCTCAAAATCCGAGCAAATCTGCCTCAGTTTTCTCTGATTTTTCATTCTCCTCACAAACCCAATTCAATTCTTGCTTTGCATAATCCAATTTCTAACTCTGTTTATTTATTCATAAATTTTTCGCAGGTTCCTTATGGACCCAGAAAACATTGATTGGGGCAGCATAGAATCTGTGTTCGTCGAAGATGAGACGTACGAGAACTTCGAAGCGCCTAAATGGGTCGACCTCTCCAGCCCAGATGCGCTCATTGGCGATGAAGCCTGGTTCTGCAGTCCTGGTAGGACCCACTTTTTCATAACTCCATTTTATCTGTTTACAGAATATTCATTTTTTTGGGGTCAAAACTCTGCTTTGTTTATATTCACTTTGTGACTTGCAGATTGCAACCATCCGAAGGCGGCTGAGGATTTCCTCAAATCAGCACGTAATCGGAAGGTGGTAATTGTTTTTCTGATATCACAACAGATAAAGTTTTTTAATTGTTTTTATTATAATAATCAACTTCTGCAAAGTTTGCTGAATGATCCTTTTTTTTTTCTTGTTCCAGGTGAAGCTTCTAAGATCTTTATCCATTTCTGAAATCCTTCCTTTTAGGGAAAGGAATCGGAGGTACAATTACGAAATCCTTTATATGTCTGTTTGGTTTCAAAGAAAGTTTTGGAAAATAAATGAGCTTGATGAGCAAATTCTTGTAAATATCTGTATCTTTCTTATCAGAGATGTGAAGGTAAAAGGGGTAGAAATCAAACCACCTTTAGCTGCAGCAGAGTTTCCCAAGACGAAGACCGAAAATTCGAATTCTTTATGCAATGTGTATGAAGAGAGTGAGAACAAGAATCCCAACTTCCCACCTCCGCTTCCACTTTCGAAAACCAAAACAACGAAGGCTCCAATGAATCCAAGCAATGTGAAGAAGAAAGCAGTGGATGAATCATCTCATGGTTCATCAAATTTTGGTAGGAAACCGCAGCTAAAGAGTACTTTCTCCGCCAGTAATTTACTTGGCGGGCGAGCAATGTTGAATCAAATCACGGAATTTTGTGCGGAATTGAAGAAATTGGCGAGACGGGGTTCGAGAAAAGGTGGATCATCAGAGAGAGTTGGTTTGAAGGAGAGGGTTAGAGAGAGGATCCCTCTGATTGTTAGAGAAGGGAAGGTCTAAGAAATGGAACAGAGTAAAACAGAAGGGAAGCCTAAGCAATGGAACAGGGGAAAATAGAGGAAGCTAGAGAAGGCCAAGTCTAACAAATTATTACACTATAGTTATCATCTAATTCAAGATGTAAATTGAAATTGCATTTGGAGTGCAGACATATGATTTTTTTTAATTTTTATTATCGCTATGATAACAGGATATGAAGGTTACAGAATTATTTTTTCCAGCCAAGAAAAAAAAAAAGAGTTTATGAGGTGCTTGTTTATCGTATCCCCCTTTTTCAATATCGTTTGTATAGTCAACGGGATCTAATCTAATAGAAACGGGTATTGACTTGCAGACTAGTGGTCTCAAGTTCAAACTCCAATGGCACCGTGTTGTGTGTGTGTGTGTGAGAATCTCATGGGAAAAGTCTTGAATGGGTTTAGTGCAGTGTGATAGTGTATTAGGGTGTAACAGGGGTATTTTTGGTAGTTAAAAATGGTATATTTAGTTAATTTTATATTTTGAATTAAATATTATAGTGTACTGATATTTTAGGGTGTACTCTGTTAATTTTAAGATTTGTAACAATTTTTTGTAGTTAAATAGGGTATACTTAGTTAATTTTACATTTTGAATTAAATATTATGGTAACTGAGATTTTAGGGTGTACTCAGTTAATTTTAGGATTTGTTTAACAACACCCTTTAGACTATTGCTTGTACTAAAAAAATATCGCTTATATAAAACCCAAAATATATACTGCAAAAAACAGTGTACGTTATTATGACTTGTGAGGCATTGGATACGAACACAATGGGCACAAGTGACAGTGTAAAGAACCAAAACAATGTACACAAGTGACTGGTCTCCAGCCACGGAACAAGGAAATTCTCGTGATAAAAGTGTAAGCATGGCAAAAAACATAACTTGCACACATGGATGGTCCGAGCCAGGTCGAGTTCCAATATGCTTAAGCTTGGCTCGAACAATGATTTGGTGCATGCTTAAGGGTTTAGGTGCAAAGGATCCAACCCAAGTCAAAAATCATGGATCCACAGTGGCGGAGTCCATTGTGATAAGATGTTGTGCCCCCATTCTCATAAATTCATTTGAAGTTTTTATTTAAAACTTGAAAAAATATCGTTTTCAGCTATTGGTCCCAATATATAGACACTAGCTCTGCCACAAGGCTTGTACTCTCAAGAATAATAATGAACGGAAACTTTGGAGGTAGTCATTGATTTGCAATAAAGAATGTAGCGGAATATGTCAAAAGATGTGATCGAAATGTATATATCTTTTTTAGCCAAATTCATAAATAAAATAGATCAGAAATTGCGAAATTGCATTGATGGTTGCTTTTTTTTATTTTGGTCAACATGATGGCTGGTTTGCATGTTGTTGCAGATGAACATGGACTTCGTCACCCAAAAAATAAAGTATGTACTTCTTCTGCTTCAGATCTCATTGGCTCAATAGTCAACAGAGACAAAACCATGAAAATTTATTATTTGTTATATTCCCAGTTTGGAGGCAATGACCTACACCTAAAGAGTTTGAAGTGACATGTGAACTAGAATATCAAGGAGATATTTAGTCATGTCCCCATTCTTAGCATTAAAACTATAAATAAACTCTACACAATTTAATTTCTATAAACAAGCCCAAAAAATACCCAAAAAATGATAGCTGGCCATATTGAATTTAATTTTGATTATTAAATTACTTTGATGCCCTATTTAGTGTTTTGGGCTTTTTAATGAGGTTTTGGGGTTGGATTTGTTTTAAGAAATTCATGGTAGTTTTGTAATTTAAAAGAAGTTAAAAGCAATTGTTTTTTTTGTGTGTGTAAATTTCAACAGTTTATTTCATGAAAAAAAAAAAGAGGTAATCTATACTTATAAGTAATGGGAATAAGAAAAATATAATAATTTCCATTCTTGACTTTGGTGTGTTTACTTACACATAAAGAATCATTCAATGCACTAATCCCATCTTAAAATCCTCAATTAAATATTCGAAAAATCAAGAATTAGAACAATTAGGAAGGGTTAATTCTTAATTGATCTGATTCCTATTCTTGGTTTATTTTGTTCTCATTCCTCTTGTTCCTATTACTTTGAAGTTAACATGCCAGAGTGGTGGTCATCAAACTCCAAGGACTCATCTAGGTTATGGCTTCAAACTTTGTTGGTTTGGAAATTATTGATATACATTGAAGTCTCATCAACTATCAATTACCTTGATATGAGTTTTGGTTGCATGCGTATGTAAGGATATAAATGCCCTTTCCATGAAATGCCAATCCCTATCTATGCTATGAAGATTTTAAAAGGGTGTCACTAGAGCAAATAGCCATTGCCAAACTTGAAAAGTTTAAAGAGAGGGTTTTAAATAAGATTTGTTAAGAAGTTGACCTAATTTAGACTAATAAATTCATAACACGATCACATTAAATTTTGGGGCCAAATTTCTTGGTGCCACCGCCACCAAAGAATACACTCATTGCCAATAGGGTCTAATCGAGTGAAAAGGGCCTTGACCTGTATATTAGAGGTCTCAAATTCGAATTCGCATAACATCTGATTGTGTGAGTGTGAGAAACTCCCTTCCTTTGTGGGTCCTTTGTGGCTCATGGATGTTGTTTATGACGATTGGCCTAAGTCCAATGTTCTTATTTAAGTTTTAGTTGTAATTTGGCGTGTGTAGTACTCTTTTTCCTCCCCTGAAGTTTTATCCCATTGAGTTTTCTTAAGGGAAATTTTAATGAGGTCACTCTTCTCCATGCCGGACCTATTATTCTTGATGATTGATTAATGAATTCCCTTTTTATCTCAAAAAAATAAAAAAAATAAAATTCCAGCGACACCCTTGCCCGTTTTGGCCTTTTCCCTTTTATAAAGTTTTTTATTTTGGTCGGTGCCCTTTTCTAAAGCTTGTAAGTTGTTACTGAACAAAAGATAAAAGACAGACAGAAACGAGTACATTGACAGAAATGTCCATTTTGAACCCAACGGTTTCACTTACGACATGAAAATGAAAAGGGCAATTACAGTCAATTTAACTGAATTGTGCCAAATCGTTCTGTTGCGTTGGGTTCAACCTTTGCAGGCAGAACCTTGGCGGCTTTTGTATTGTCCAAATCAGACCGAGCCCCCCTTATTTCTCTCTCTCTCTACATTATATATATAATTATGTCCGAATCACAAAAATTATTGCTTCAATTTTTATATTCTGGGTTTCGCTGGAATCTCAGAAGAGAAGAACAAGTTGTTGGTCAATTGGGTCTGTTCTCTCTCTCTTTTAAATCTCAACCTTCCATCGAATTATTCTTCTGAGTTCTATCTTTTTGTTTTGCCTTTTAATCCTCTGTTTCATGCTCCATGGTTCAGGTTCTGTTTCTGTAACATTTGCCATTCTGGATCTGAGAAGAGGTCAGTCAATGCTCTATGATTGCTACAACTCACTCGTATTCACTTGCGCCCACTTTGATAGTTTCTTGTATTAACTGAGGTATATTATTTTGTGGAAACAGAAAAAGGTTGGTTAATTTAATTTTGAGCTAATATGATTTTGGTCCTTGCATTTTTTGGGGCTGATATTGAGATTTACAACAGCCCATTTGAACCTCAAAATTTTCTCTGAATCATTTGTTTACAAACTTTTGGTGGGTTTGTTATTTATGTGGAGGAGTTTGGAATGGTTTATTGCTGCTTTCTTTGAAGTTCCTTGTTCAATGCCATCTGCCTAGAATTTCTTGTTAAAATTTGGGTTGACGCCATTGATTTAAAAGGTTCAGTTGTCAAGATTTTTTTGGCCAAATAGTGATGATAGAATTTGAAAGAATGGTGTTTGATAATGTTTCTTTTGTGTATCTGTGTTTGTCATAGGGATGAGTTTCAGTTAGTTCATTTAAGGTGCTTGTGAAGGGGTTGGGGGTCAAGAAGATGGAGACATAGTTGTGGGTTTGTCTCAGTAGAGTCTTCTATGATAATGCTTTCTATTCAGAAGTGGAAATGTTCATGGTCTCAGATAGCAACGATTGCTTCTATTGTGGCATTGGCCTCTATAATATTGGGTTCGATAGTTCATCTGTTCTGGTTTCCGTTGGTTCCTTCTTTCAATTACTTCAGTCAAGCTCAGAACTCTTGTGTCCCAATTAATGGATCAGCTGAAGCAGTTATTGATAATGTTAAGGGAAATTTTAAACCACCTATTGACCTAGATCGACAGTTTCCATCTGACTTGCACAAGGCAGTTGTTTTCCGTGGTGCACCATGGAAGGCTGAGATTGGCCGGTGGCTTTCTGGTTGTGATCCAATTTCTGATGAAGTCAACATCAATGAGGTAATAAGAACAATGCTATACATGCATAACATTTCCTTTTCATTCTACATGAGTGAAGATTTCAGTGAGAAATGCCAAAGGAGTTGAATCATGTTCACAAGAACTAAAAATAACTAGAAACATAGGGATCAACACCAGCATAATATACATGTTTGTAAATGGAGAGGGGAAAGAGGGGGGTTGGGGTGTGTTGCACAAGTCATTAAATTGATCAGCAAGCAAATGGATTTTCCTTTGTTAATTAGTCCCCTCAGAAATTAAAGGCTTGTGCCTTGATGTTAGTATCAACTTTATTGGAAGAGTATTTATCTGTATATAACTAATTGTTATTGGCAGGTAATAGGTGGCAGTGGCTGCAAAAATGACTGCAGTGGTGAAGGCGTCTGTAATCGTGAATTGGGACAATGTCGGTGCTTTCATGGATACAGTGGTCAGTATAATTTCTATTTTCTCTCATTTAATTTAATCTAATAGAAAATTGTGAATAAGTAGTTGAAAAGAGAAGTCGGCTTGATGTTCAATTTCATCATCTCTTGAATAAGAATTATGATTCCGTTGACAGTAAGCTTTTTATTCCATGATATGATGTTTATACTGATTGAAGAATATATGAGAAGATTATTGCTCTAGAATTCTGTTATGAACTTTTGTGAATAGCAGACTAATTTTTCGCTACTTGTCAATGTTTCAATCCTCTTATTATTCAAATATAAGAACCACACAACCAGACTAAGATGTAATCATATGGCATTATCTCTTTAATTAAATCTTTATGCTGAGACTGAGAGTTTATGAAGAACAGATCTAGATTAAAGAAATACTAGATCTTAAAGACAAATATTTGGTTAAATATTGCTTAGTGAAATGGCATAGTTTTAATTTTTGACATTCATGGTTCTTTGATATGAAAACACTCATTAAACTAGGTAGGAAAATAATAAAAAACTTTTAAAATGAGGCATGTGTGGCATGCAGAGGTCAATCTTTTAAAGAAATCCTATGAAGAATACTCACACAGATCTCCTCTAGAGCCAAATTTGGGCGTATTTCAGTCATGTTTTAATCTATTATCATTGTTGGTCAATGGTTGTGTGGTCACTGTTTCTTTTGTTTGGCTCTAATTGTTGTCCCTTACTGCATCACTACTAATGGAAACTTTGTCATTTCATCACTTCCATAGAGTTCTTACATTCTTGTAGCTCCCTAATCTCTCCCATTGTTTCTAAATGAACACTCTGTTCCGATATTGCGGAAAAACCAGAAAGTTTGCTATTGTATATGAGTCATATTCTATAAATATAATATGTTCTAATTGTGCAGGGGAAGGATGCTCTGAGAGACTGCAGCTGGAATGCAACTACCCAGGATCACCAGACCAACCATATGGGAGATGGGTTGTCTCCATTTGCTCTGCGCATTGTGACACAACAAGAGCAATGTGCTTCTGTGGGGAAGGCACAAAATACCCAAATCGACCTGTGGCAGAGGCATGTGGCTTTCAAGTGCAGTAAGTTTATCAGATCCTAACTAGGCTTCCATCAGTATAAATAAGTCAGGAAATATTTTACATGCCACAAATCCCTGCACATTTGTTTCAGGTTACCCTCTGAACCTGGTGCACCTAAACTGACTGATTGGGCGAAAGCTGACCTGGATAATGTTTTCACAACAAATGGTAGCAAACCAGGATGGTGTAATGTGGATCCTGCTGAAGTGTATGCTCACAAGGTGCAATTCAAAGAGGAATGTGATTGCAAATATGATTGTTTCTGGGGGCGGTTCTGTGAAGTGCCTGTGCTATGCACTTGTATTAATCAATGCTCGGGGCATGGGAATTGCCGTGGTGGATTTTGTCAGGTAACAATTGGTTGCTTTTGCCTGGATGCTCAATGTTGTTTGTTTGAACAAATGAGAAGTTAATCATGCTAATAAATCAAACTCAGCAAGTTTTTTCCTGGAACGATGTTGAACATATTAAAAGTTAATTAATCTTTGGAGACACTTAGGACTGATGTGAATGAGTATATAAAAGTGTACTAGGAACAACATAGGCTAACATTTCCGCTTCGGGTATATCAAATTTAATTGGAGATTAAGAATAAAAGGGTTTGGCTGATAATTTCACACAATCTCAAGGTTAAAAATTGTGCACAGAGCTATTCCCTTTAACACATTCATTCATTCTTTAGTGTAGAACTCTTTAAGCTAGATCATAAGTATCAGTCATTATCAACTTCATAAGTCATGTGCTTTTATGGTCTTATGCTAGTTTTCTAGTCACACGCCTCAAATAAGAGGATACTATATTTCAGTAAGCCTGTCCTACTATGAAAGATTGACTTGGTAGAAAAATACTGTTTTATTTGTCAAACATCCTCCTCCGAGTATCCTTGGAGAGTTATTTTTTCTTTGAGCAGGAATTTTTTGATCACAACATGTTGAAAGTTGTATGAACATCTACCCTAGTCTCTATAGTTTGCTTATCAACTTTTCTTTGGCAACTCTTTGGATATTTTGTTCCTCTGTTTTTGGTGAATCATTAAAAGTTTGGATATGCATAAATAAATACAAGTAAGCATTAACATGCACCCTTAACATGCATTTTTTTCCTGATCAATTAGGACAGAACTAAAAGATAATCCTAGGTGTCAAATGCTCCATAAGAGGAGAAATACTCAAAATTTAACTTTTGCATGCAAATCCACAATTAACCATGTTCGGTGATAAATTTTGTTCTAAGTTGTGTGATGTAAGTTACTCAGGCACTAAAACTAGAAACCAGTTGGAAGTATTTTGGTGACAATAATTTCCCAATCTTGCTCTGTTTCCTTGCGAGTTCCTTATAGTTCATCAATAGATATGTACTATCATACTATGTCATAAGAATACCCTGTGGTTTTTTTTTTCTGTTTCCTCTTTTGTCAATATCTCCTGCCTTAACTGAGTGCACTTTCCAGTGTGACAATGGCTGGTATGGAATAGATTGCAGCATTCCCTCTGTTGCATCATCAGTTAGAGAGTGGCCTCAATGGCTTCGGCCTGCTCAGGTTGATGTTCCTGATAGTTCACATCTCCCAGGGAAAGTTGTCAACCTCAATGCTGTTGTGAAAAAGAAAAGGCCCCTTATATATGTTTATGATTTGCCTCCAGATTTCAACAGCCTACTTCTTGAGGTCAGGATTAGCTTGACTTACGATTACTTAATTTATGCCAAAAGCAAGTTTCTTATTTTTTTTCTTCTCAATTTCTTGTTGTAGGGGCGTCACTTTAGGTTAGAGTGTGTAAACCGAATCTATGATGGCAAAAATTCAACACTGTGGACAGATCAACTGTATGGTGCCCAGGTATTTTACTTAAACCGAAACTGGAGTAAAATCGAAGATTCTTAGGAATATTCATCTGTCTTGTTGCTTGTTTGCAGGTTGCACTTTATGAAAGTATCTTGGCTAGTCCGTATCGTACATTAAATGGTGAAGAAGCAGATTTCTTCTTCGTTCCTGTTCTTGATTCATGCATTATAACTCGTGCCGATGATGCCCCTCATTTGAGTATGCAGGTATGCTTTATGTAATTGTTAAAATGCGTATGAAATTGCAATTTCACATCTGGGTTTGCCAAGTCAATGTTCTCTGGTTTGGCTTTTGCTTACTGATGTGCTTATTATTAAACTTTTAGGAGCACAAGGGCTTGAGGAGCTCTCTCACTCTGGAATATTATAGGAAGGCTTATGATCACATTGTTGAACAGTATCCCTTCTGGAACCGCTCATCTGGAAGAGACCATATTTGGGTATGATGTAAATGGGAAAATTACATAAGGCCAGTGTGGAGTGAAAGTGTGTTTGTCTTTTCCTAGTTAGAGCATTTTATTAAGTGTGCATGCTAATGTTGTCACCTCTGTATCTGAAGGCAGTTTTTTTCATGGGATGAAGGTGCTTGCTATGCTCCCAAGGAGATATGGAATAGCATGATGTTGGTTCACTGGGGAAACACAAACTCAAAACATATGCATTCAACAACAGCCTATTGGGCTGACAACTGGGATACCATTCCTTCTGATAAAAGGGGTAACCATCCCTGCTTTGACCCTGATAAAGATCTTGTACTTCCTTCCTGGAAAAGTCCTGATGTCAACTCCTTAAGCTCAAAACTTTGGGCTAGGTACACATCTGATGGAAATCATACTCTCGTTTCCTTGGTTTCTTTCTTCTTCTTTTTCGTCTCCTTTTCTATGCTTTTGTTGCTCTAGTCAACCATGACCATTAATCCATGGAAAGATTCAATACTTTATTTTCAGATCCCATGACACACGGAAAACGCTCTTCTACTTCAATGGAAATCTGGGACCAGCTTACCCAAAAGGAAGACCAGAAGCTTCGTAAGTTAAACAAGAGCTTTTTAGAAATATTGTCTTAGGGTGGGTCGATTCAAATTCTTTTGTGGACAACCCCTAAAGACTGAACCTTACCAACGGTTATTTCCATTCCTTCCCATTTCTATGTGCGACATTTGGAGAACATTTATGAGGTTTGGGTTGTCTGGAAAGTAGTTGTCTATGGAGTTTGGAAATGTTCAATTTCCTGCGTCACTACTGATAGTATATTGCACAACTTACAGATGATCTGATAAAAAAATTGGGGTATTTATGTAGCTATAGCATGGGCATCAGACAGAAGCTGGCAGAAGAATTTGGTTCAAGCCCTAACAAGGAAGGGAAACTTGGAAAACAACATGCAGAAGATGTGATTGTTACCCCGCTACGGTCTGAAAACTATCATGGGGATTTAGCCAGTTCTATCTTCTGCGGGGTATTTCCTGGTGATGGTTGGAGTGGTCGTATGGAAGACAGTATTTTACAAGGGTGCATTCCTGTTGTCATTCAGGTAGTTAGTTGTCTACATTTGTTTATTGCTGTTTGCTGTTTTTATTAGAGCCTTGGAAAATTTGGTTAGCTTATCACTTACTTCAAGATGCTTGTAAGTTAGTGACTGTTTGCATCGTGTCATACTATGAGATTGCATGCTTCCAAACCGTGATAACCTATATTAATCTTTCTTCTATTTTGTTCCCTCATATTTAGGATGGAATTTTCCTGCCATATGAAAATGTGCTCAACTATGATAGTTTTGCTGTTCGGATACGTGAAGACGAAATTCCAGATTTGATAAATATTCTTCGGGTAAATCTTTTTTACTTTTTATGTTTTAAGTTTTGATTGATACAATGAAGCTTCTGATTGCAAGTTTGGCAGCATTAAGCTGACTGATTATTGGATTTTTAAATCCTGTAGGCATTTAATGAGACAGAAATAAAGTTCAGGCTAGCAAATGTGCAGAAAATTTGGCAGAGGTTTTTGTATCGTGATTCTATTATGCTCGAAGCTGAGAGGCAAAAAACTGATTTTGGCCATATGGAAGATTGGGCAGCTCAGTTCTCACAATTGATTGAAGATGATGTTGTTGCAACATTTGTACAGGTGAGTATCTTCCTACTCTATGTTGAAAGATGTTAGTTGATTTGACCATTTGAATTTCATTAAACTGGAGCTTTGCTCTAAACTGTAACTATAATACCAGCTAATCTCAAAAGTTAAATGTATAGGTCAACCATGAAGTGGTAATTGTTTGTTTGGTTGAAAAATACATTTACATTATGAGAGACCAAAAAAAAAAAAAAACAAGTTGTAATTAATCTTAGGGCATGTAGGAGGTTAATGGGATTAGGTTTTGATTGCCTGTGTAAACCTAGGGAATGAATAAACAAGAAATAAAATATTTTGGCAAAAATATTTTCAAGGAAAATTGAAGCTTTAGGTACATATGCCATACATACACATGCAGTAGAGGATATCTGATTTTTTCTTTAGTCATTTATTAAAATTTACACAACTACTTAAGTTATGAAATCAATACTTAAACTTTTCAAGATTGGAGTCAAGCACCAGTCTAAATCTGCTCCTGTACATATGGTTATGTGTGTCTCCTTAGAATATGAACTCGCTGACCACGTCCACTCACCTTAATCAGGTTTTGCATTACAAGTTGCATAACGACCCTTGGAGGCAACATGTTCATGTTAAAAAGGAGTTCGGGTTACCTCGAGAATGTTTGTTTAAAGGCAACTGAGGAAATGTGCTTACTGCTAAACTAATTTTAACACCTTAAGGGCTCACTAGGTTACAGGAAGCAAGCATGGCAAGTTGGCATTCAAACGAGAACCTCACCACATGGCAGCATCCAGTTAGATAGGACTTGAAAGCCAGCCAGCCAGGTCTTCTCACTTCTACTCCTCTTCTAGCCAATTTTGGACCCAAATCTGTGAAATTTGGGTATACGTCTTTTGTCCAAATGGAATTACCTTAATTTATCTTTTTTATATTTTGTTTACTGTGAATGGTAACTTGTAACTGAAGTATTAGGCAGATGCTAGTCTGTGATGCATGTGGGCCCTACTGTGGGGCCCATATTCATCTCGGTTGGAAGTCATCTGTGCAAGCACGAAGGACTGTCATAAACGTCTGGTCCAATTACGCGGAGACGAAGATAGATATTCTTTCTGTTTTCTTAGTTATCTTACATGCTAAGATTTACATGTGAGATTCATATTTGCCTTTTGTTTAAGGCCATAGTGGAGGACTTGGTTCAAACTTGTTGTAACTTTTGTTCAATTTGCTTATAAATTATAATAAAGCTCCATTAACAACCATCGGATACCGACGGTAGTGGAATTATGTGAATGATTGTAGTTATGAATTTGTGGGTAGTGGAATTATGTGAATGATTATAGTTATGAATTTGTGATGTGATGAAAGGTATCAAAGAAGCCTGTCATCGTTTTGTCTCATATTTCCCACCCTTTTTCCCTTTTCCCCTTTTCTTTGAGATTGCAAATTTGCTATCAAAGCACCATTACAATACCTATTACATAGGCCAAGAGATTATGTTCAGAATGGGTAGAACTTGCTCCCTAAAAACCAGCTTGTAAAGGAAAGGTGCCCATGAGCTCTTAAACCACTATATGATATGCTATTTTTTCCAATGTGGGATCTTGAGTCCTAACATTCTACTACGAAGAGATCGTGTTAAAGTGTGAAATAACTCAAACTAGCCAGCACAAACATGAGGAAAAAGTGTTTGATTTTGGGTACCAATTTACAATAGGTTTTTGTAGAAATGTCACATGAACTTATACCTTAGTTTCAATTTGTCACCTTAAAGAAAAATTTAAGAGAAATGTCACCTTAATTTTTAAAAATCCATGATTTGTCATATGACTTTAACACATCCATTTAAAGGGTATTTTAGTCTTTCCATTTTCAAGGGTATTTTAAAAATGGAAAAATTATTATAATTTTTTTTTTTAATTTCTTTTAAACAATTAAAATTGAAAAAAAAATCTCACCTTCCCCCATCCCCTTATGCACCACCGGCGTCTCCAACCAACCCCATCCACCTTGAAATCCATTCCCCCTTCAATCTTCACAACCTCTTCCTCCTCTATCTACCATGAAACACCTACCCTCCACACACAAATTCACTCAGCTCACCCAAACCAAGTCCACCTTTTTCTTCTTCTTTTTTCTTTTTGGTATTTTTCCATTTGCATATTGAAATTTTTTCCATTTCCATGCTCAATGAACACCATAAAAAAATTTATACATGCTCACAGAGAGAGAGAGAGAGAGAGAGAGAGAGAATAGGGGGAGGGGGGGTCCTGTGCGATGTGTGTTTGGGGGTGGGGGAGAAAAGGAGAGAGGTCTCTTTTTTCTCCTTTTTTTATAAATGGAAAGTCAAAATACCCTTAAAATAGATGGAAAATTGGATGATGTTAAAATCAGATCACAAATCATGGATTTAAAAAAATTAAAATGACATTTCTCTTAAATTTTTCTTTAAGGTGATAAATTGAAACTGAGGTATAAGTTCAGGTGACATTTGTTTGAGCAAAATTCTCATGAGAGAATATTCATAAGAGATCCTTCACCCTTCTAGCTTACTTCTCTCTCTTCTTCCTCGATCCCTGCAAAATAGACTAAGTAAATAGACCACACCTGATGCCTAAGTCAGTTAGATGTTCTTGAGAAAGATACGAAAATAATAGAGAAGGTCAGAGTTTTCTCTATGGTACAAGAGAACCGAGTGGCTGGAGCCGTGTGAGTTCTCTCTCCCTCACGCCACTCTTGGCTTTCTCTCCTTCCATATGGGAAGTATTCTCTCCCTTCAATAGAGAGATTAGATCAATTAAAGATTTAATGAAAACCAAATCCCTAATTTATGGTATTATTTCTATTTTAAGTCTAAATAATTGGCCAATTAAATGGAGCACAATTGTTGACCTAAGGAATATTCCTATCAAGGGTGGGCGCGATCTGGTCCGGTCTAGTTTTCACCTCACACCATAATCGAAATTGGTACTATTTAACCGGTGTGGTTTGGTCCAATTTTGGTGAAAAAAATTTATGAAACCGATCGGTCCGATTTAAATCGGTCCTAGTGCGGTTTCTGGTTTTTTCAATTTCAGACTGGATATTATTTTATTTATTTTTTTTACAAATTCTGACTAAAATTTTATTTTTTGGGGTTAAAAATTCACAAATGATCCAATTTCATGCAAAGAGAGATGATTGGGCCTAGAAAAGAAAGGTGTTTTGAAGTCGGGTTTGGGAAAATATTAGTTATAAGATTAGAAATTTAGCATTGGACTTAAATATTTTTAAAAAAATAATAAAAATACACAGTTGGTCCGGTCCAATTTGATCCGATCTGATTTTGTAAGGTGTGAAACTGCACTGGAACTAGTTTGAACCAATTCGGTCCGATTTGTTAACTTTTTAGTCAATACAATTTTTTCCATCTGGTGCAGCTTGGTGTTCCGATTTTCCAGTTTTGATGCCCACCCCTAATTCCTATTGTCCATGTTGTTTGTGCAAATTTCTGCACGAGGAATATTCGAGTGTAGATTCTTTGCCCTTCAAGCTTCCTTCTCTCCCTTCCTTGATTCTTGTGAAATAAACATGAGTAAATAGACCACACCCGGGGGATGTTGGCCAAATGCCCTTCGATGGCAAAGTTAGTTCGATTGAATTTTGATAAAGATATGACAATAGCTAAAGTGGATGAAGGTCTTCTCTCACGAGGAAAGCCGTGTGTGAGGGTGGCTAGAGCTGTGAAGGAGAGAGAGCCAAGAGTGGCATGAGAGAAAGAGAGCTTTGGCTAGGGTTTTAGAATTACCTTGAATGCTTGGTTTAGTCATGTATTTTTAGGCTCCTTATGTGCTAGGGTTTTGCAAAGAATATTTTTCTATCTGGAAGGAAAATATTCTTTTCCTTAAATGGAGAGATTGAGTCAATTATGGATTTCAATTAGGATCAAATCCCTAATTGATAATAATTATCCCAATTTTAACCTAAATAATTCTCAAATAAATGAGCTAGATTATTGACCTAGGAGATATTTGCTCCCACACACGTAGCACCTCATGATTGGTTGCCGACAAATTTGTACAAACATTCCTTTTAACCTATTACCTTGTGCGTGTCAATAATTTATGCTAAACTATGTTGATTTTTATTTTTTGGACGGGTCCGTTGATATTTTGTAATATGGACAGTGTACCAATCCAATCACTTCTAGCTTTATCTCTCTTTCATGTGCTGCCTCTTTTTCTAGGAATAGTACATATTAACTTCAAGGCTTGGAATGTTTACAGATATGTGCACCTAACTTAATTAATATCAACCAACTCTAATTGATTTTTTTTATTTTCTATTTAGTACAAGTGATAGTTTAAATTACCAGAAAAATTTATTTGTAGTTTAGATTATCGCTTGTATTTAAAAATAAAATAAAAAAACTCTTTATGAGTTACGTTTGGTTTTCGATGAATTACATTTTGCATAATTACTACTGGTTTACGTGTCTATTTGAACATCTTGTACAATCGTTAAAATGACATTCAGAAATCTTGATTTGAGTTCTTTTCCAACCTTGTGGAATTCTCACGCTGATATGAAAGATAAAAGTAGACAATGATACGAGGTGGACATATCATTTGACAATTAAAGTTGTGGTGGTCATAGGCATCTATGATATTTCCTTATCCTAGTACTAGGATGTCATTTACCTTGAGCACATGTGTGGTGGGTAGTGCGCACCTATGATGTTATGATACCTAGGTAAAGATACTAAAGAAAGAGTGGACGTTAACCTCACCGTCTAAGATCTTTATGCATTACCCACATGTTTAATTTGAGGATCTTTGCTCGCTATAAAAAAAATTGGCAACAGTCACCATTATTTGGTGATATTTGGTGACTGTTGTGGGGGTGACTAAAGGCTCTAGTCACAAAAAAACAAAAACAAAAAGCAAAAAATGTGACTAAAAGCCTTTTTAGTCACCAAAAAGTCAAAAAATATGACTAATGCCTTTTGTCATAGCCACAAATGTCACCAAATAATGGTGACTGATCGGTTCATAATTGTATATCATTTTGTACCCTTCTAGCTTATGATTTGGTTATGTTTTTGAGTTAAACTTGTGCTTTTAATCCTTTTTGTGTTTATCTTTCAGTTCATTGAGCTTTAGGTAATAATGATGGCTTTAGAGAGCATAATTCATGCAATTCAAGCATGTTAAGGCCTAATTTGGATGAATGGATGAAGAG